GTGCAAAAAAAAAAATCAAACGTGATAAAGTAAAACGCCGATGACATTCGGGCCACACGAGACACTCACGCCTTCGACCATGAACGAAAATCCAATATGGATGATCAGTTGCAGTGTTTGCATCGGCAAGAAAACCCTGACTAAAATGCGATCATATGGTAGATTTTATGCATTTTACCAGATGTACATTTCGAATCAAAACCCCCAGTAGGCCTAGTGTGTAACATTGGTAAATCGGGCGAAAAGGAAAACGGGCGAACCGGTAATTGGGCGAACCGGTAATTGGGCGAACTGGTAATCGGGCGAAGGAGTTCGGGCGAAGTGACTGTACCCCGTTTGAACGAAGCAGGCAATATTTCTGAGGAAATTCGCGATCTAAGTTTATCGGGCATAATAAAGAGTTCACACATACCTCTTTGAAGTTATCGATAAGATATTTTATAAAGAGTAGTAAGCTCAACTAGAACAAAAAAAACTAGAACTTCTTACCGACTCGAAAGTTGTCCAGTGCCGAGGTTCAGCGATAGTTTACAAACGTGCGCCGGGGACGGTGACATCACTGCGACCAGCCACACCAAAACGAACATATCTCGCATCTAACTCAACCCCATGCAACAAATTTGATATCCAAGTGTTCATTATGGCCCGTTCTTCCTCGACGAAAAAGTACATAAGTGACAATTTAGTCAAAGACGAGAAAACTGCACAAGAAATTTGCCTTATTTACACGTATCGGCAATGCGAGCTGCCCAGCAACTTCCCTTTCTGACGTCACAAGGGGAATTTCTGTATGGAAATGAATAGCTAATGAGGAGCCTCGTTTTAAAATACAAAAAATAAAGTTGCTGTAGACTGAGTTTAAAACACATTTTTTCACTTAAAAAAAATAATTTATGCTTAGAAACATAAAAATAAATAATATTTATGTATCAATTGATAATTTTAGACGTGAAAATAGCAGCCATTTCACAGGCACTTAAAGTAGAATCTTACTCGATCGAGAGTTGTTTACCTACCGTTGCTGATAATTTAGCGCATATAGCAGTAGTTATATTTTGTGTCAGAATTGTCGAAGAATATGCTCAAAACTGGTTTCCACAGGCACCAGTGAAAACTTAAGTAGTTCCATTATTTCAATAAATACCACTAAAAATAATTTTTTCAATAATTTTATACATTAACAAGCACCACGAAAAAACATTTTTCACCAAACAAAACTGTGGGACAATGAACAAATTTCAATAATTGTCATAACTGCAACAGGGTGGCATGTGAAGATTTGTCTGGGCAGGCCATTCCAGAAGACATACCTCCACTTTATGCAAATTGTTTTTAAATTATGCTAATTTATTCATGACGTAGCAGTTTCTGTGCTCATGAATATTCATTAATTTGTGGTCAATACATTCTAAAAGGGGCGATATATTATTTTTCGGGGAAGAGTTAGAAAGGGGGATTACCAATCCTTAGGGGGTCAATACAAAAGAAGGGACCCATTTGGAGAGCAGCCATGCTCCTCGCGTCTGTTGTTGCACGTGACCTACAGCTGTCAACTGTGTTCGTTCTTCGACGACTTCGACTGGCTTCCATGTGAGGTAGTATTCTTGTGTTCTGTTTTTCTGACTTGAGTTCTTGATATACAGAAGTTTCTGTTTATGTTTTTAACGTCTTTCATATCTTGTCTTGTAGGAGTGTCCTTGTCCGTGATTCGAACATGCAATCTTTGAGTACCCAGCACTCTGTCTTGTCCACTGTACCACGAGTGTCTTCACACAAGTGATAGGATTTAAGTCCTACTTATAGGAGCAATGTTTTCACTAGCATTCAAAAATCGTACTAACCGTACTGGATTCGAACCAGCGATCTCTCACATTGCCTCCATTGTACATATCCACTGAACCATATGGGTCGTCATGCAAATGAATTATTTGTTTTCATATTTAGCTTTGTTGCAAATTAGTGTTTGCGAGAAAAGACTGGCAGGCATGGGAATTGTACCGGGGTCCTCCTGATCACTGTGTAGACAACTGACCCACAAGACCAAAATTGATTCACTGAATGTGTTTGCATTTGATAAGACTACATGTATATAGTGTGTATATATTAGAAATACAACATATTTCTATTATTGAGTTACAATTGTCCAAAAAATTGCCAATTTTGTGTTTTTACTTGTGTAAACTATATGCATGCCATAACCCGTTAGTGTACATCTTGCCAATTGGGTGTTTGCCATTTGCGTTGCCCATACCTGACCCATCCCTAACCCTAATGCCAAGACACGTTCCTGTTTATAATTGCTCAATAATGATACTCTGTGTAGCACTGTCTGCGGGTAAGTTGCATTGATGTCAACTGATTAAACAAGTCGGGTTTAAGTAATTTCCACTATTAACAAGTGATTAAATTGTGACAATAAATGTGTGGACAAATATTTGGGATTTATTTTGGTGTAGACAACTCTCGTTTAATTATTTTACACCATTACAAGTTGTTAAATTGAGAGAATAAATGTCTCAACAAATATTTAATACTTAGTTTGGTGTAAACAACTCACATTTGATCAATTCCCACAATTACAGGTTGTTAGATTGAGAGAATAAATGTGCGGACAAATATTTTAGACTTATTTTGGTGTAAACAACTCTCATTTAATAATTTTACACCATTACAAGTTGTTAAATTGAGAGAATAAATGTGTGGACAAGTATTTAATACTTAGTTTGGTGTAACCAACTCGCGTTTGATCAATTCCCAC